CAGAGCATTACCCCACGAAGTTATTATCATTACACCACGACGGCATGCTGGAAGAAAGGAGAAAATACCTTACAAATTGTTCCAAATACATATCCAAGGAAAATTTGGAATGTTTCAAAGTTAATAATGTTAAAAGAACATCCGAACCTAGACATCTCGAAATACGCACAGAGCATTACACCACGAAGTTATTATCATTACACCACGACGGCATGCTGGAAGAAAGGAGAAAATACCTTACAAATTGTTCCAAATACATATCCAGAGAAAAGCTGGAATGTTTCGAATGTTTCAAAGTTAATAATGTTAAAAGAACATCCGAACCTAGACATCTCGAAATACGCACAGAGTGTGCTACCGTTACACCACGAAGGCATGCTGGAAGAAAGGGTAAAATACCTTATAAATTGTTCAAAATACATATCCAACGAAAATTCGGAGTGTCTCGAATGTTGCAAAGGTGCGAACTTCAATGTTAGAAGGTAATTTGCTAATTTAAAGGACAGTTGAATATCATTTAAATGCTTAATATCAACTGTAAACAAAGTGCATAATGCTGATTTGAATTTTAAAATTGGGAGAAAAAAGTATAATGTGCATCGTCTTTCTCCAAGACAGATCGCTTAACGCAAAACGCCCTTCAGAATTCTTTACGTCAAACATATGGTCGGGCAAAAATGGAAAAATGTTATCGCAACAGATGGAGCTTGGATGTATTTATTTGTCTTCATTAAAAAAAAGATCCAGACCTTGTCATCAAGTAGGATAAAATATCCTAAAATACGGTTCAAAGAATCTTGAAAGTTTTTCAAAAGGATTTATTATTGTTGCTTATTTTCCAACTAACGGCAAATTAAAAATAAATAGTTTGGAAAAATATTTTAAGATCAACTCCACATACAGCAACATATGTTATACCCTATTAGCAAACACGAAATTCCTACTCTTCACGCAGAGCCATCAATGAATAGAGCTGCATCCAGACAAAGCAAGTAGCCACACGTCAAAAATCCACTGTTAATTTCCTGGGAAAAATGGAACAAAAAATGGGTATTAGGGCTATACCCTTCACACATATCCCTACTAAAGCTCTTGATATATCACCTACAGATTTTTACGCTTTTGGACTTTTAAAAAGGGGATTGACGTAACGTCGATGAACAACTGAACATCCCTCCCTGGATTTTAGAAAGCTCTCCGATAGGAATGGGATAAAATACCTCTTCCGATATTACAAAAGGCTTTATTGTCTTGCAAATCGTGGTGTAGTAAGACAGAGAAGAATACGTTTATCAAATCGAGTATTTAAAATGTAAAAATTGTAGGTAAAATATTTCTGCAAATACAATGAAAATCGTCTAAGAAATGTGAGAAAAGCGTCTGTATAGTTTAAAAATAAGGAATCGTGCATTATGATCTTCGTTCAAGTGTCACAAAACGATTTAGTACTTATTAAAGTTATTTTTATAAAAGAGAACATTTTTATTTTATATTTCGGTAGTTTATAGATTCTTTATCTTAAGCTATCCTGTCTGCTTGGAAATTCGTTTTTAAACTGCAGTTATATTTTTGAAGGTATAAATAATCGTCTGCTACTTGACAGGTTTGTTTCCATGCGAAATGGCGCTGTTAAAGGGCAATGGATGGAAAGCTATGTTTGTGCTCTTTTCGAGGAAAATTATTCATATCTTATTATTAAAAATGCTTTGAATGCCATGGTGTTTCGATATCTAAAGCTTCTGTCTTAATAGTCTTTTATCTAATAAAGCATATGTTTATTAGTCATCTTTATATATATAAACGGCTAAAGTGTGTGTCGCCAATAGTTTATTGTTGCCACTCGGAAAAATGAGTGCGGAAATTAAGTTTCTCCAGTTTTTAATTAATATCTCGTCTGATTAAAGTCGTACGAAGATGAGAAAGGTATCGATGGATTCGGAGAATTTTTTGGAATCCGAGGATACGTGTCTCGAATTTCAACTCGGCACCGTTACGTAGCTATTCCAGAAAAAAGAATTTGGCACGTAGCCAAATCCCTGTAATAGGGAAAACCCAATATAGAAAGTGTAAAATGTAGAGGAAAATTAGTTTTTAATTAATATCTCGGCTAATTAAAGTCCCAAGAAGACGCGAAGCGTCAAAATGGTGTGCCACGGACCTGCGGAATCCAAAGGTGTGCTTCGCTAAGCCCGGGAGCCAGCCGTTTCGGAGTAGATGATGTTACTTCACCCCATATATATATGCGGTTTGAGTGTCTGTTTGTCGCCGATAGTTTATTGGTTGTTTGCGTAACTGTGGTAGCCAATGGGGTGAAGATGCCACGACACAGAGTTGCCGCTTCAATTGAGACGTAGACAATTTCCTGTAAAACTTGCCTTTGCTATGACCATCCATATGTCTCAAGGCGAAACGCTTAAGCACGTTGGCATTTTTTACCTGAGCCTGCATTTGGACACGGTCAATTTTATGTTGCCTGTTCAAAAGTCCGTGAAAGAACGGACGTAAAATTAAAAATAATGGATGGTCTTCGACAAGGCGAGCTTAAAAATGATGGAAAGATCTCCACACGAAATGTTGTGTATAAAGAGATCTTTGACATGTGAGTTAACATTTTATTATTAAAATCACCTTTATTTGATTGACCTAGCAGTGACTCTTAAGAAATGTACCGCCAGTAGTTTTCCTTTCATTGCACTCTACTTTAAGCAATTATGTAAGTAGAAGGGGGAAACCTCCGTGGGGCAGTAAGCAAAGGAGCGTCCTCGCCGTTTGCCCTGGGTAATTCAGTTTGAATTAGCAGAAACCTTTGCAACAAATAATTTTAATTACAATTTATAATATCTAAACATTATAATTTCGTAATGATCCGCCGGGCTTTCTAGTATATATATATATATGCATAGAAAAAGGTTTGTGTGTTTGTTTGCTATTAACTTAGTCACTACTATAGTTATCGTCACTAAACTTTCTACAATTCCTTTCTGGGTCCTGGGAAAGGTCGACGTGCACTTCGTTCCAAACAAAAAGAGCTAAAATCAAAGATATTAATTAAAAACTTTGTAAACGCTAATTTTCACCGTCATTTTTCCGAATGGCAACAGTTTCGCACGCTGGAGATAAAAATCTGCTTTATTTGGAGAAGTGCTCGCTTTCAAATTGTAGAGTTTAATAATAAAATTTTCTAAGTTTTACAATGAAATAAAAATAGTATTGCCAATCATTAAATACATTATTCTCGATTCCAAAAATTTGTGGGAAGCCATTTCGACTGTTCGTACGACTTTAATCAGCCCAGATATTAATTAAATACTCTGAAAACACTAATTTTCGCACTCTCTTTTCCGAGTGGTCGCGTTGGAAATAAAAATGCTTTACTTCGGAAAGTGTTGCTTCTGCTAGCTTTCAAATAGTAGAGTTTGTCAATCAAAAATTTGTACGTTTTACAAGATCTATATATATCAAGAAAAATCTCTGTTTGTGTGTTTGCTTGCGTTATTGATTTCTGTTAGTTTATTATTCTATCGAAGTTTTTTATGTGGGTTACATATCGCATCAGATGAACGATGTATGACTATGAATCGTATTTTGTGCATCGTTATATTAGAGAAGGATTACAGCGGTATCGTTCTCTTTTGTTGTTAAATACATTACTCTCAATCTAACGTAACTGGCATCGGGTACTTCCGATAGTAATTTATAAATAAAGAATCGTAATATTTTGAAGTGGACTTAACAAAATGTTTTATTAGATATCGAAGTTGTGTAATAAAAGGTGAAATTTGTATTTTATATTTTCAAATACATTATAGTTTTGAAGATTCTTTTATTATAAATGAAATAATTAACACTTTTATTATTAATTGATTCATAAGAAGTGAATACTTATAGCTAATTTTTCTATTTTCAGATATCTTGGAGAACAGTGAATGTCATCTTCCCTAGAAAATACTGCATTTCAAGCATGGAAGCTATATTCTGTGAACATTATAAGAGTGAGATATTTTTATCTAACATGAAGTTTACTTTTATCGAGATGGGCGTTTTTAGGGTGTCATTCATCGCCTTAATAATATTGAACTTAATATTATTATTGGAAAGCTCCATGCTAATGATACCAGGATTTATTAATGAGATAAAATGTTCTCTATTAAAACAATCTCTAAATTAAAATAAAACCATTCACCCCAAACCGCAAGCAGGATAAGCACTTTTGAATATTTCTTAATTTTAGATTACTCTTTTCATTCACATTTATCCATTTTGATCAAAATTATAACAAAAATACTTATTATTTTTAACACCAAAAATACATAAATTAAATTTAAATCTTTGAACACGGTTCACATAATTTATAGCTTTGTAAAAACTGTAAACAAGCTTAATATTTAAGCAAACTGCTTTATTATCTAAAGCAAACTGCATTGTCTCAATGAATAGCATTGCAAATAAGCAATGATTAACTATATAACTGTAAAAGTGGCTTTCTAGAAATTAAAGTATTTGTATTATATAGATTTTAGTAAGACCTCAATGTTTGAACAAATATTTTCTTGAAGTTCTAACATTAGTTTTCAAATTCAGTAATATTTTTTCTTTTCCTTAAAAATATTTTTTATATTTACTTGAAACAAATTTCTTCAGCTCTTCATCGACTCTGGTTGTGAATTCACTTTATTATTCTTTGAATTTGATTTTATAACTTTAAAATTAATTTAAGAAAGCGAAATCATTATTATTTATAAATGATATTTAACAATTTTTGCATTTAGTTATTATTACTTTGTTAAAGAAAAACAGAGAGAATCCTGTGACCTCGATAAAGGTTTTATATTATTAAATTTCATGAGAAACTACTCTTATAAATAAATATTATAAATTTCATAAAACTCAGTAATATTCAGTAAATTCAGTAATTCAGTAATAACTATCAAACTTTAATTTCTTAAAATCAAGGAAAGAATATATGTTTCAATAATGATAACAAAATTCTTAACTCTGTCCTTAATGATAGTGAAGAAGTAACTTTTACGTTAAACATTTTTATCATTCTAAGGAAAATTATTACTGAATTTTGAAACTCTTTCATGTTTAGAAATAACTTCATTATTTTGAGAAATGAACACTCAAAGTAAACTCGAAATTAAAAATTATAATTTAGCTAAGCAATAAGTATTCGTCAATATCTGCCTATCATATCAACAATTAAAATTTTATACATTATTATCAAGTATTAAATTACTTTCAAAATGATTTCTTTCACACATGCTTTAATTTGGGGTGTGCTTTTCACAAGCACAGTACTTGATACGGCCTCCGCGTCCAATTATTCTCAATGCAAGGATGGATTAATCCTTCCCGTATGGACTCCTACCACCAATCTTAGTAAAGGAGATGTAGTGGCTAGGGGAATTATATATTTCATAGCACTGGTGTATATATTTGTAGGTGTGTCCATCATAGCTGATCGTTTTATGGCTGCAATCGAAGTAATAACCTCTAAAGAGAAAGAGGTAGTAATAAAGAAGCCAAATGGAGAGACACAAACTATCAGTGTTCGTATATGGAATGAGACAGTGTCCAATCTGACCCTTATGGCCTTGGGGTCATCCGCTCCAGAAATTCTACTATCGGTGATTGAAGTAACAGGTCAAGGATTTCAAGCAGGAGATTTAGGACCAGGAACGATTGTCGGAAGTGCCGCATTTAATATGTTCGTGATCATAGCGATTTGTGTGTGGTCTATCCCAAGCGACGAACACCGCAAGATAAAACATCTTAGGGTATTTTTTGTCACAATGACGTGGAGTGTATTTGCTTACATATGGCTTTACCTGATCCTTACATGGTCTTCCTATGGGGTAATCGAAGTCTGGGAAGGTATAGTTACCTTCCTCTTCTTCCCCACTACAGTACTTACCGCGTATATCGCGGATCGTAGACTCCTCATCTACAAGTACCTCTCTAAGAAATACCGAATGAATAAGAGAGGGGTTATTGTAGGAGGCGAAGGTGGCGAGGGTGCTGGGGCTGTTGAAATGGGAGCCCCAGGTAGTAAACCCACAGCTACCAATGGTCTGAAAGTCTTTGATGAAGAAGAAAATGAAGAAGTTAAAGAATTCGAAGAGCACAGGCGAGAATATATACAGCTGCTTCGAGAACTGAGACGGAAGAATCCTGAAAAAACCATGGAAGAGCTGGAACTAATGGCACGGGAAGAAATCCTTGAGAGAGGACCTAAGAGCAGGGCTTTCTATCGACTACAGGCAACCAAAAAACTTACGGGAGGAGGTAATCTTATTAAAAAGAAGCTAGAGAAACCAGAACCTGAGAAGGAAGAGTCTAAGGAAACCATCAAAGATGATATGTGTCGCATTTATTTCAATCCTGCACATTACACTGTAATGGAAAGTGTAGGTCAGTTTGCGGTGACGATTATCAGGTCTGGAGATGTTTCTTATTCAGTATGTGTGGATTTCGAAACCGAAGATGGCACTGCAGAAGCAGGTTCAGACTACGAACCACTAGCGGGAACTATTATCTTCCGTCCTGGTGAAACCCAACAACAGGTTTTCATCACGGTCATAGATGATGACATCTTCGAGGAGGATGAACACTTCTATGTTCGTCTAAGTAACCCGAGGTACCTGAATCACCCCGATGGTATACCGCTGAGAGCAATGAATGGTTCTCCTGGGCAGCTGGGTCCCCCAAGACCTCCGTTAGAATTAGCAACTCCTTCAATTGCCACTGTAATGATTCTTGATGATGACCATAGTGGAGTATTTGGATTTCAAGATGTAGCTCAAGAAGTACCAGAATCCATTGGGGAGTACAGGCTCAAAGTATCCCGCTACAGTGGAGCCAGAGGACGAGTTATCATACCTTTCAGGACACTAGAAGGAAGCGCAAAACCAGGGAGAGATTATAAACATGTGGAAGGAATACTTGTCTTTGAAAACAACGAAAATGCGTAAGTACTTTTTAAGATTATTTTTATTTCCTCATTATTAGTTTAGCTAGAATTTCAGGTCAAGAACCAAGGTATATTTCTCAGACAGTCACAAGATATTTCGTACTGAAGTTGATTGTCAATATCGTTTCTCCTTTTTTCAGTTTTCGTTTAAACAAGACATTTAGGACTGCATTTTTCAATTCGCGACACAACAATGTTGACATAAACATAAATGGATTAAAATATTTCTGAAATTTAGCTAAAATAATTATATGAACACTTTATCTTGAATTACTTAGAGTTGATATCTAGTGTTTCTGTTGCACATGGAAAGCTTTCTATGCCATATAAATAATTACCTTTATATTTTGCAAATATTATCAAAAAGCGAGGATTTAAGTATCACAGCGAAACTAGAGTTTATAAACAAGCTATGAATTTATATTGTATTTATAGAGATAAATTAAAATATCGCTGTTTTAGGAATTTATAGCTGAATCGTAAAAATCACTAAAATTAACGAATAATTCTAAGAAATTCGAAGTGAGAAATAATTTATTTTGTTATCAGTATGCGAGTTTGGATCTTACATCTATCACTTCTGAATAATCAAACTTTTTCTAAAAAATATTTTCACCACCTAGACCTAAAATAAATAAAAGTAACTAGGCTAGCTGTGTAAAGAAATGTTTAATTAAAACTAATGTGATAAACTTGCTTTTATTAAATAAATCGTGATTTTTTTCAAAAATTAATGAAATTAATAAGTATTTACAAATGACATAAATAGACCAATCTCTATAATAATAAGAAATGTATATAGAAAAATTAATTTACGCAATGTCTAAATGACATTTCATTGTCTTTTGCATAACATTTTGTGTGTTTTGTACATCGATAAGTATACACATGTGTCAAAAAAGCAAAAACACATTTCGTTTTGTATCTCTACAAATACATTCTTTGTCTATTTAAAACTTTTAAGAAAATGATTCTGATTACAAATAATTTTTTAGATTATCACTATTGAGGCTCGTCAACAACACAATATACAAGTTAAACTAGCGGGCAAGCCCGCTGTTATTGGCGGAAAAGTTAAATGTTTCATGAAATATTATTGAAATATATTCGAAATAGTTAACACATTCATGGAATTAAATTTATTTTAGGCATCGGGAGTGATAAGATTTCGAGTCCTATCTAAAGAAATTAAGGAAATTTCAAGCCAATATAAAGATTAAATTAGTCAAGCCTTCAATGAAAGACGATCATGTTTATCATGGAATGAATACATTTCTTAATTATAAATTAGCATTTACTTCGCGCCAATAATATTTCCCTAATGACATTCCCTAATGAATTTCCCTGCTTTCCCTTTTTCAGAGAATTTAATGAACACGTACCGTATAATTCATTCGCTTGGTCAGTTTTACAAAGAAACTTAACAAACAAGATTTTTCATGTGAGTTTAATAAAGCTCATTGATTTACATTAAAATTGAAACACGCAGTGTAAAAGTAATATAGAGTGAAAATATAAAGTGTGAAAATGATGTTTGCTTTCAATACGTAGAAAAAAAATAAACATGCGCATAACACCACCCAAGTAAAAATTACACGTCTTTCTTTAGAAAATATACACATTGCCACGTCTGTTAAGCCTCGATTTGCAATAAGTTAACAAAAGGATTTAGGAATGTGAACTTTAGGCATGAAATAAAAATTATTGTTAGTTTATCATTTGTTTGCCATTCTTGTATCTGTTTCAAGACAACATTACACAAATCTTCGATTAGGATTATATCTAGCGTATATGGTTACTTTAAGCCTTGGAAGAGGATGTTACAGAGTCTTAAAGGCAAAGCTTGGAGGAGACTTAGGAGCAAAGCTTGGCAAAGCTAAACTGTTTATCTCTAAACATAAACAGTTTAGAGATAAATCTCAAAATTGATGATTCAATCTCTGCGACTCTGCGAAGACTGGTTTCTGGTGAAATAATGATACTATGACTTGGCTGCTTTTCACACAGAGATTATTTCACTATGAAATCGGTATTAGGATACACAAAACCTCACGTTTCCCAGCACTTTTGAATTTGATATCTCACATATCTTAGTTTTGGGAAAGTTCGTCATCCCTCCAGTAGAGGAGTGTTACTCCGTTATTTCCACACGGTATAAGTTGGGATGAATTTTGAGACCATATCACTTTCCCATTTCTTCAGGAAAGATAGTTCCTGAACTTCATGCAAATCATTTCTTTCTTTAACCACCCCTTCGACATGACATTTCTAAAAGTAATCTTTTCCTGTAGTCCTTTGCGTTCCAAGAAAGTACGGAAAAATCTTTTGGAGGATCGCTGTGCTTTCACTTCAGAATTCCGCAGCACCTACGAAATATTTTAGATTAGTACTTCATGAAAAAGGTCATATACGATATATATATCGGAAAAAGGCTATTCCTAGGAATAATCATTAATAGAATCGCTGTTGTATCCAGGATCAGTAATACCGATTTTCCCATTTTGTCTGGAACTACTGTGTCCGTCGCAAACATGGCGGCAAAATCGTCATGCGATGACTTGTAGGTACTTTATTTTTTACCAGGATATTTTCGTCGACAATGTTTTTAAACTGCGAAGTCTTTGATACGCTTTATTTTAGACCACAATACTTTGTACCATGATGTTTTTTAGAACTGCGATGTTTACTCTTTGTTTTCTTTTCTCCCACGATGTTTTGTACCACGACGTTTTAGCCTTGCGTTATTTTCTCCGCGATGTTTTCGTCCGTGAGGTTTTCGGCTGTAACCGGAACTACATGCTGGTATGTTTTTCAGACGCAGTTCCTAAAGAGTCTTGTCTATCTGGTAAACTGCATCCCTTCTAGATCACCTTTGTACCCTCTAACTGACTGTACAAAGAGACAGTCATGCTGGAAGTTTACCAGAAGGTTTGCCCTGAGTTTCGTTTAACAGAGTCTACTGCGGAAGACATATACCTAGCCGAACAGTATATGACGAAAACCACCTGCACTTTAATTTATTGTATCTGGGTTATATGAAAAACAACGCTTTCTGGAATACACCGGGATAACTTCTTCAGTGAATGCGTTGAATGTTATTTTAAACGTAACTGAAGTGTAAGTTTTGTTATAATTCATTGTTCTCAATTTTGGGGAAACCAACGATGGAGATGCATGTTGTACATTTATTATATCTGGTAAGTGGAATATTTTCTGTATGAAAACTTCTCGGAATCCAGCTACATTTCAGTTAAAGGAAATCGTAAGAAAATGTTTAATTTAAGTTACAAGAAATTAACATTATATCAGAATTTTTTCAATTTCAGTACGACCTTAAAACAATGTTGTTATTTGCATAAAATTATTCATATTTTGTATCACTTGAACAGAAATAAATTTGCTTTCGGGTAATGGATGTGATTTTTGATAAACTAGGTATGGCATAAGAAATTTTATAACATAAGTAACTGGTTAGTTTTAGTAACCCGCTATTTTGCGTTACTTTACTGTCTTTCTCGCTTTACATTTTCCTGCTAAAATGTTGATATTTAGTTCGCGCGTATACAGATGAGGTAGAAAAAGAGAGTATTGTTTTCCAATAGCTGGCTCTAGAAGTTTATAGGCATTGGCCACTATTAAGGTCGAAAACGATGGTCACTTTATTATGGAAGGACCTAATTAGATGGGCCTCTATTGTCTCCTATGAAAGGACGGACAAATTATATCAATGCTTTCTTCGGGATTCGAACACCAGCCCTTCGGTATAGCAGTCAGAGTCACTAACCAGTTTCTCTTCTGGGTGGCTGAAAGAGTCGGCATTAAAGCAAAGTTTTAGACGGTAGAATCCGAACGTGTTCCGCCTGTTGAAGGCGGTACTTTATTCTCATAAGAGCTGGTTATTTGCGGTGTTGCGTTATTCTCGTCTTAAAGGCTTGACACTCCTGCCTTAGGTATTTGAACCAATCTGCGCGTTTTATCTCTGTGTAGCGTTTTGGTTTACTTACGATTTACTTAATTTAATTGCTTGCGATAGACTAAGTCTCAGTTTTCTCCTATTTTTGGAGTTAAACAATAAATGTTAACTGGTTGTGTAAGCACGGGCAGTACGTTATACCTTTACCTAAGTTGAATAAAAGAATCCTTTACATCCTTATCACGTTTCTGTTCTAAAATCAAAGACGTAGTGATAAGGGTGCTTAAGCCTTAGGCAGAGTTGTTCTAGTTTATCTTACGGAAAAGAAATGGACTCTGTAAACCCTCCCACCGGAAAGAAAGAAAATAGTTTGAAACTCTCAAATTTAAATGCCAATAACAGAGGAGTTTTTATCATTTTATTACAAAAGATGCTTTTTTGAACTATGTCACTTGCTTTATTTCAGCTTTTTTGATAAAGTATTGTATAGTGTCTCTGAGAATGAATGGCGAGATATACAGGGTGCGGCAGCGTTCATAGCGTAATTTGACTTGAGTAGTACAATGACGTATTGCATGAATGCGCGCCAGCTCGTGCCGTATTCGTGTACTAATGAGCTGCCATTTCGAGTATGACAGTGATATGGATCGGTGGAGTGCACAGCATCGTGCCTTTGCTGTTGAAAGTTATTTCAAGAATAACTACTCTGCTGTTCTTGAAAACCAACATCTGTTTCTGCCAACCAACGTCTACTCAACATCTGTTTCAGCAACATTTCAACTTGGGCAAAGTTCCAGATGGACGGACCATGGCGACAGACATTCCCAGGTAGAGTAATTTCTCGTTTTGGTTACATTTCCTGAGCCGCCTCGCACACTTGATCTTTCATGTGAAGACTTTTTCCTTCGGAGCCACCTGAAGCAAGTTTTCTGGGATCGCATCAGAACTGCCGTCGGCAATGTCCCAGGGAATACGTTACGCCGAGTCATGGCAACCTTCCAACGCCGCCTAGATGAATGTGCTGTGCAGAGGGGGCATCATTTGACAGGTATCATATTCAAAAAGTAACCCACGCAATTCACAA